CTTCTTAAACAAACTGAATACATTTTTGGGTAGATTTGAGGCATCAAATAGCACTCCTGCTAGGAAAGCTGTGCCCCATCCTGACGAGCAAGTGCTAAGCTTTGATGTCACCTCTATCCAGAAAACACTGCAGAAAAACATTCGAAAAGCAGCAGGCCCAGATAACATTCCTGGACGTGTCCTCAGGGAATGCGCAGAGAAGCTAGCTTGTGTTCTCACAGATATTTTCAATCTCTCATTGCATCAGGCAGTGGTCCCATCATGTTTTAAGATGGCCATCATCTTGTCAGTGCCAAAAAAGTTCACAATTACAGGCCTCAATGATTACTGTCCGGTTGCACTGACATCCACCATTATGAAATGCTTGAGAAGCTGATAAAGGACATTATTGTATCTAGCCTCCCGCCACCTTTTGGCCCGCTTCAGTTTGCCTACCAACCAAATCACTCTACGGAGGATGCTATTTCTTCCATTCTCCATCTGAACTTGAAGCACTTAGAGGAAATAAATACTCATGTGTGTTTGTTGACTTCAGGTCAGCATTTAACACAATCATTCCCCAGCATCTAGTAGACAAACTAGGCCTTTTAGGCTTAAACACTCCCCTCTGCAACTGGATTCTTGATTTTCTTACTAACAGGCTCCAATACAGTATGTGCGAGTTGGAACAAATACCTCCAATACCATTTTCTTGAGCACAGGTTCTCCTCAGGGCTGTGTCTTAAGTCCGCTGCTGTTCACCCTGTTGACCCATGACTATTGTGCTAGGTTTGCCACCAACCATATTGTGAAGTTTGCAGATGATACAACAGTAGTGGGCCTTATTCAGGATGACAAGGTGGAAGCTTACCGCAAGGAGGTTGAGGGGTTGGTGAACTGGTGTAAGGAAAACAGCCTAGTTTTAAATACCAGAAAAACCAAAGAGATCATTGTCAATTTCAGAAAAGGCAGGCACAGCCACACTTCTCTGTGCTTTAATGATTCATCTGTGGAGATGGTTACCAGCATCTAATTCTTGGGTGTGCAGCTAATGAGCAGGCTGGCTTGGTCACTCAACAGTGAGAAACTGGTGAAATGGACACAGCAGCGCCTGCATTTTCTGTGTTGCATGAGAAAAGCACATCTTTCTTCCCCTGTCCTGACCACTTTCTACAGGGAGATGGTCGAGAGCATCCTGTCATACAGCATCGCAATCTGGTTTGGAAGCATAATTGCTTCAGAGAGGAAGGTGGTGCAGAAAGTGGTGAGAATGGCCAAAAAGATCAGTTCCCTCCCTCCCATCCAGGACATAGCACAGAAGCGTTGCTTGAGCAGGGTCCCTAAGATTATCTGGGACACTACACATCCTCCAGACATTGTTACCTTCTGGGAGAAGGCTTCGTGGTATCTGTAGTAGAACATCCAGATTCAGCCAGAGTTTCATTCCATACAGCATTAACCTTATGAACTCTCAAGCTTCCTCCTTCTGTTATATATTCAAGATGGACAGTATTTAATATTTATTTGTTATGTATATGTAGGGGTGTGAGTCTATACATATGTTGTATATAATATGTTTAGGTGTGTGTCATGTATGTGTTTCACTTTGAGAGCGGGCAACTAAATTTCATTTTTGATGTGTGCCGTTGGACCCAGAGTAAAAAAATGACAATAAAGGTTATCTTATCTTATCTTATCTTATCTTATCTTATCTTATCTTATCTTATCTTATCTTATCTTATCTTATCTTATCTTATCTTATCTTATCTTATCTTATCCTTAGGTCTACGTTGCTTCTCTCCTTGCTTTTTGTCCTGTATAATGGGCCAGAATACACAGATGTAGTTGATTGGTTGGAGAGTGGGGGCTCCTGTAGGAGGTAATCTATACTGTGATTGGTTGCTGTGTGTAAGAAGGGGGAGTTTCCCTTTTTCCTGTCTTTTTTTCTCCTGTGTGCTCTGTATGCTGTTCTGTGATTTAGCTGAGGATTTACCTCATGATGTAGTGATGTGCCTGACTATATTGTTTGCTGCATATATAGATGTAAAATATATTTATTTATATAAAACTGCACGTTTGTGTCAGCATCTCTGACTCCATTTGGACACTTGCTGCACAATTCCCTTACAGTCTCCATCCAGTGCTTCTTCAGGTTAAATACATTGACCCTCTCTTTGTGGCTATCATGTCACGCTTAGACCTTCTTTTCATTAAACTAGGCATACCCAATTCCTACAACCATTCTTCATATATTTTATCTTGCAGTTCCCTAATCTTCTTTGGTGCTCTTCTCAGTACTTTTTCTAGAGTCTCAACATCTATTTTATATTGTGGCAACCAAAACTGGATGCAATATATCCAAGTATGGTATTACTAAGGCATTATAAAGCAGTACTAACACTTTGTGTGATCTTGATTCTATCCCTCTGTTAATGCAGCCTAGAACTGCATTGGCTTTTTTGGTAGATGCAGCACACTGCTGGCTCATATTTAAGCGATTATCCACTAGGACTCCAAGATCCCTCTCATAGCCAGGTTTCACTACAACTGTACCTGTACATTTGACTTTTCTTGCCTAAGTGTAAAACCTTACTTTTCTCTACATTGAATTTCATTTGGTTAGATAGGCTCAGTGTTCAAGTCTGTCAAGATCCATTTAGATCTTGAGCCTGGGGTGTTGGGTATTCTTGCCAGCTTAGTGTTATGTACAAATTTGATGAGTTTCCCTTCCATTCCTTCACCCAAATCACATAGCCTTGGGGTACCCCACTGCATACCTCCCTCCATATAGATGCAGTTCCATTAAGGACTAAACATTGAGTGTGGCTGGCCAGCCAATTCAAATCCATCCGGTGGTGATGCTGTCTAACCTAATCAAGTAATAGGTTTTTGTCTACTTTATCAAATGTCTTACTGAAGGCCGAGTAAATTATATCCACAGCATATCTCTGGTCCATTAATTTTGTCACGTTGTCAAAGAATGTAATAAGATTTGTCTGGTATGATCTGTTTTTGACAAGCCCATGTTGGCTTCTGGTTATGACTTTGTTAGCCTCTAGGTGTCCATTGCTTATCTTTTCCAGAATCGTCCCAGGTATTGATGTTAGGCTGGGAAGATTCTGGAAAAAATAATCAAGTAACAATGCTGTGTGTGGCCTTATAAACTTCCTTCAGATGAGGCCCAGACTATCTTGGAAGGCTCCAACCAATCCTTATCCCAGAGAACCACAACCTGCAATCTATTTGCAGCCTCCAGCATCCATTTTGCAATTCTATGCAGGGAGAAAAGCCGGGATATTTTTTTCTTTAATCTACATGAATCTTATTTTATTTGGAACAATAAGATGTTCAGAAAAGAAGCAGTTTAAAGATTAACTCTTTAGATCAAATCTATTTGAGAAAATGGGGGATTGATCCTTTTGGCTTTAGGTCATTAACGTCTTGATTTAAGAAGGTAGTAGCATATACAAAGTAGATGGGTGAATGACAAATTGCTGGTCTTGTGAACTATGGAAGTAGAAAAAGCAACAAAGGAAAGAAATCTGGGGAAAAATGATTTTAATTCATTCTCCCCTCCCCTGCAAAAGGTCTCCTTTGGAAAGAAGTTCTATGTTGGGAACTATGAGGGAAAATATTGGTGCAAACTATATGATCTTTTATTTCTAATTTTTCTTGAATAAGCACACAATAGGGTGGAGATATGAGAACATTAATAAAAACTGATTGGTAAGACTGGTCAGCCAGATGTTACTTGGAATATGTTTGTCCCACCAGTTGCTGAGCAATACATTTGATATGAAATGGTTTCTTAGGATTATGGGAATGAAAAAAGATGACCACTTTTTCCAGGACAGGTTTCAAGGCAATGATCCAGATTTTAGGAGCACATCCTGACCATCTTACAACAGAATCTTTATGGGCAAAAGGCTCACAGAATGTTTCAGTCACCAGAGCAGCCACAGATTGATGCAAGCCCTAATACAAAATCTTTCTGCGTTGAGCACCCATTATACCTGCACAAAGGTTTGATACAGAACAGGAAGAATGGAAATAATTAAGTTGTCTTAAGAGTGTCTTGGTTTTCTTTCATTCATTAGAGTTAGGTGTGGAGAAATGGACTGTGTTAGTATAAAGAGGATAATATGGAGAAGGAGGCATTGGGTCCATATGTGCAAACTTCTTGGGATAGGAAAGAATGGGGATTCTTCTAGTGAGGAAGGAACAAACCCTGAAAAACACAGACAGTTCTGAAAAACCCATCCTCCTCATACAAGCCAGTCAAAACTGCTTTCTTTGCATGTTTCCTCCTCTTCAATTCCAGACCACCTTAAGGAAAAGGATTTGTCCATGTCTGATGATCAGATAGGGATAGTTGGTACAAAAAGGAATAAAACCAGCAAACCCCAACAATTTTATGCAATTTGTCTGCATTCAATCACTTGTAGGCTTCATTCCTCAGCAGAAAAGGCTCGTCTGTTGGAACAGCACAAATTATGCTGGAAGAGAAGAAATTTGTGTGGTAATGACAAGAAAAGCTCTGGAAGTCAATAAGAAAGACAATTTGCTGTACTTCCTTCCAATGTCTCCCCTCAGAACAAAAGGATGATTGAGAAGTTAACTGGAGATTAAGCTGAGAAGACCATACCCTCCCTCCCCATTGTTGAATTACAACTCTCCACAGTCCTTGTCAGCAGGGGTGACTGTAAGGGAGGGTGAGATTAAGAAAGGCAGGATGGTAGCAGTGCCTGCACTGAAGCCTGTGATCATGAGCATCGTCTTTACTGTTTTTACACTATCACCATCCATTGTATACACCTCTGCCAGCCACCATGCTCTCTAAGGTGGATTTTGAGTCTCAGCAAGGCCTCACCTGGGAGATTTCATGTCCTCCACCATGATTAAGATTTAGAATAACAGGATGAATATCCCCCAAAGGAAGCAGCTCTGTTGTTCATCTTAGGAAATGGAGTAAGGTAGAATTAGGCATGTTGGCTTAAAGAAATGGCTGAGCCACCATTTTATTTATTTTTATTATTTATTTACTTATTTATACCACCCATCACCTATCCAAAGTGTCTCTGGTTCTCCCCCTGCTTCTTCATTATCCCAAGAGAAAGTCAAAATCAGAAGTTCAAATTTCACCTCAGCTTTTTATATACACTTATCTCTGTTTTCCCACCTCAGACAATTTTCAAAAAACTCTATAAACCAGAATAAAACAATGTCTAATAATATTTCACATAAACAGTAGAAGTACTGAATACTATACATGTTCCAGTATCAATAGGAATTGTCAAATGGTTTCCCAAAATTGTAAGAAAACAGAAGTTTTGGTTTGGAAACCGAGGGGGAGAAAGAGAAAGGGAGCCCATTTCTGGTAGCATCACAGGAAAAAGATGGTCCTGACTTTACATCTAATGGAAAAGCTCCTGGAGGAAGGTCCCCACCAGCCTTTACTTCTTCAAATGAATAAGGGCAGGCAGTCATGAGAACTCAATGAACCACTGTCAAGAAATGAAAAAAGACTCATTAAAGAAACTCAGATTGGAAAGTTTTTCATAATGATTGCTGATCATTACACAAGGTTGGATCTTGCAAAGTATAATTATTTCTAACTCCAAATTAGAGTAGTGGTATCCCACTGGAATGACCTGGGTGGGTGTATGACAGGTGCAGTCAAATAGGGCCCCTAAAGAGATGGGAACAGTAGGCAAGCCAAAAGAGTAAATTGAATGCTTATCAGCTCCTTTGTTAATGTTCCCACCTACTTAAACAAAACACTCTTTGTGTCATTTCCCTTTTCCTACTTTTGCAATCAATCAACAGAAAGTGAGAGGTTCACCAAAACAACTTTTCACTCAGCCCCTGCTTGTCTCCCATTCATAAATGGTGATACACAGAGGTGATCAAATATTGATGTCTCTGTTAAAGAAGGGGAACAGAGAGGTGATCAATTCATTATTGGAAATATCCCATTCTCTCCATAATTAAAAGTCACCCTGTCTTACCAAGTTTATGTACTTCTGTTGCTGTCTGAGCATCTCCCAGTCCTCATTCATGGAGATAAGCTTCCTGCCAGTCCTGCCCATATTCCTTCAAGCTACTGCAAAAAGACAAAGGAGAAAGGGATTGATGGCAGTGAGAACATCTTCCCCAGGCAATCTCTTCTGTGCTCTTTCCGGCTTCAATCTCTTCTGGTTATGCCAGTGCCCAAAAGGAGCCTCCCTCAGCCATGAACTTACTGCAATATATCTGCAAAAGCTGTGAGGATGGGCTTGCACACATAGTGAACACCATGCTTGGCACACAGAGATTTCACTAGAGGAGCCACCTTGTAATAATTGTGTCGAGGCATGGTGGGGAAAAGGCTGCAAGAAGAGAAGAGAAGAGGATATCAGGTGACTATCCCAGAACTTTTGGTAGCTCCATAACATGGCAGCCCTGCTTAACATTGGCCATGTGTGATGTATGACATTTCTGCGGTCTGGCCTTTGCTCCGGCTCATACTCACTGATGCTCAATCTGGAAGTTCAGATGCCCAGTGAACCAGTCATTGAACCAGGAATGATCAACATTGCATGTTCCTGTGAGCTAAGGGAGAAAAAGACAGTGGATGAAGCTCTCCAATCAGCCCTTTTCTTTCCAGCCACTGCTGCTTCCTATCATAGAGAGATTCTGTAACAAGCAACTCTTATTCTTGGCTCATGGGTTTGGGCTTCTGTTTGGTTTCTCTTTGTTCATTCTGGGTTTTCTAAACATTTGAATGTAAACACTCAACTCAGGCCAGCTCTAATGGACAATGTACATTGTACAGTAACCTTGTGCCTAAGAGAATGGCACTGCACAATCTGAAGGTCCAAGAACAATTGTTATCTCAATTTGATAGCAGAAAACAAGAAAAGGAGAAAAGGAAGAAAACATTTTAAAATATAAGACTGGAAAGTAGGCATTTATCTTTAGCTTTAAGTACAGTAAACAGAAATGAAAGTGAGAGCCAATTTGGGGTAGTGCTTAAGGCATCAGACTAGAAACTGGAAGATTGTGAGTTCTAGTCCTGCTTTAGGCACAAAACCAGCTGGATGATCTTGGGCCTGGCATTCTCTCTCAGCCCTAGGAAGCAGGTAAGAGCAAATTACTTCAAAAATACTTTATCAAGAAAATTGTAGGGACTTATCCAAGCAGTTGCCAGGAGTCAAAAATGACATGAAGGCACATACACACACACACAAATGGAATGAAATAAGTTGTAGCTTTTATCCTGATTCCTCCTTACAGTTTTTGAGATGGCATGTCCAGTACAACATTCAGAGGCCAAGTGTGAATATCAGCGCATTTAAAAATGTTGACAACTGTACTCTCCATTTCCACCTAAGAGCCTGTTGACCACTAGGGCCAACAGATAGATAAGGAGAAGGTGTCTGTTTCTCATGGCTAATTAAAAAAGGATATTTCCTGTTCCTCTCTCATTCTCTCTCTAGCCTCCCTCTCTTTAAGGTGTAGTTCAGATAGAAGTCAGGCTTCCTTTTTTCATAATTTGAACTTTGAACTGTTTGCATTCATTGATAGCTGGGCTGAGGTTACACACTGCATCCAAGACAGTGATACTGTGAAGAATGTCTAACTGGAGCTGTCTGCTGCTTATTACTCTGCATATGCTCAGCACATCCTTTAATATGGATCTTGTTCAACTCAAACATCTATAATGTGAACCTCTTCTATATCTATCTGCCAATCCATACAAAAACTTAAGTTCTTATTTTTTCCTAAATGTTATAATGGTTAAAGTACTTTAGTGGTAGCCATGAAAGCCCTCTGTTCAAAGTCCATGAACCCCAAAGCATTAACGAGTTAAGTGAAAGAAAGATGGTGCTTCTGAGCAGAAAATGGAAATATTCTTACCTGGCAAGAGACCCAGTCCAAATTCTGGTCATAATTGATGTTCATTGGAATGTGATTCATTTGAGTGACCCAAATAAACCATGCACTTTCTAGTAACCTGTGGAAATAAGTAATTTTGAGAAATAAAACAATTAGAAAACTTTTACAATTTTGTTATCATTGTCTTTATCATTATTATAATTTTTATCATTGTCTTCTCTGAAAACCTCTCTTGTCTTCCAATTTTATCTATTGACTTTGCCCTCACAAAGTCCACCACTTTTTTCAGGGTTTATCTTCCAGTGGAAGGCAAGTAATTAAAAGTGAGGGAATAACTTATTTCATCTGTTACACAGGAAGGCATTTATTTAATTATACGGTACTTCAAATGCTCAAGGTCTTCCAATGCACAAAGAACAATAATTCCCAGGGATATCAGCATCATGGGAATCCTGAGGTCAGAGAACATCACATTCCTTCATCAGTTATATTATTATTATATTTCAATTCAAGACAGAGAACATACTCCTTGCTCCTATTTTCCCCACAACTACCTTAGGAGTTGTGTTGGGCTGAGAGTTTATGACTGGTCCCAGATAGTTTTCATGCCTAAGGCAGGTCTGGAACTTCTTTTTGTGTTCTAGGCCAAAACCTTCACCTGCCACAAACTGGCTCTTCATTGACATATTGTCCATGGATCACCATTTTGCTGGTGTGGAAAGGCAGGGTTTTTTTTTTTTTTTAAAGGAAGAATGTAAAGTCTCCTCTATGTCAGGGCTTTTCAACCGGTGGTACTGTATGTGTACCACCTGTGGTATTTTGCTATATGGCAGGTGGTACGCGACCATTGTAGAGAAGTGTAGTGGAGGAGGGGAATGAGCTGAAGTGACCCAAGCCTGAGGGAGAGGCAACTGCAGCTGCAGGACTGTCTGAGCTCTGCAGAAGCCCCAGGAGCCGGCAGGGCTCCATCTGATTAGTTCTTTCGGAAGCACCTCGGAGCTGGAGATGAACTGAAGAAAAAGTTGGGAGGAGGAGAGGAGAGGCTATAAAAGGTGGTGGTTTGGGCAGGAAAGAGGAAAAAAGACAATAGGGAAAGTTTTAATCCCTTTAAACAAATGTAATTAGTTTTACCCCCTTTAACTGTCTACGGCAGCAGTTCTCAACCTATGGGTCGCGACCCCATTTGGGGTCGATCGACCATTTTTCAGGGGTCGCCAAAGAAGGTGATCCGCCATTTTCTCCCCTCAGGGGGCGGCGCCGTGCATCCAATCTGTTTTCTTGACCTCAGATTTATATTGTAATAATAATAATAATAATAATAATAATAATAATCGCTGCTCAACACTGTCCAGATATATAGCCAAGATATTGTTATGAAGTTTGGCTTGGACAAATGTGCCACACTTACTATCAAAAAAGGAAAAGTACTGAAAACTGAACGAATCAAGATGCCCCACAAAAATAACATTAAGAGTCTGGATGAGGAAGATTACTACAAATACTTGGGTATCCTTCAAGCTGACAACATCAAGCACACTGAAGTCAAGAAAAAGATTAGAGGTGAATACATCAAGAGAGTAAAGAAGATCTTAAAGTCCAAACTCAATGGAGGAAATACCATAAAGGCAATCAACACCTGGGCAATTCCAGTCATTAGGTACACAGCTAGAATAGTGGACTGGACTCAAGCAGAACTAAAAGCAATGGATAGGAAGACCAGAAAAATAATGACAATGAATCATGCCCTTCATCCACGCAGTGACATTGACAGACTTTATCTACCAAGGCAAATAGGTGGGCGTGGAATGCTACAAGTACATCAGATGTTTGAAGAAGAAAAATGGCTTCTTCAGAATATCTGAAGAACAATGATGAAGATGCACTGAAATTAGTATATCAGGAAGGCTTACTGACTAGTGGAGCGACCAAACTGGCCTACAAGAAAGACCAAATGAAGAACAGAATAGAAGCATGGGAAGACAAAGCACTACATGGCCAATACATTAAAAAATAGCTGGGAAAGCAGATAATAACAAGACCTGGCAATGGCTAAGAGCAGGAAAATTGAAGAAAGAAACCGAGGGACTAATTCTGGCTGCACAAGACCAAGCCTTAAGGACAAATGCATACAAAGTCAAAATTGAGAAGACAGCAACAGACAGTAAGTGCCGCCTATGCAAAGAAGCTGAAGAAACAGTGGACCACTTGGTAAGCTGTTGCAAGAAGATTGCACAGACTGACTACAAGCAGCAGCATGACAAAGTAGCAACAATGGTGCATTGGAAGATCTGCAAAAAATATCATTTGTCTGTAAGCAAAAACTGGTGGGATCATAAAATAGAGAAAGTCATAGAAAATGATAAAATTAAACTGCTCTGGGACTTCAGAATTCAAACAGACAAGCACCTGCAACATAACACCCCCAGACTTAACAATTGTCGATAAGAAAGACAAAAAAGTCTGGATAGTGGACGTGGCAGTGCCTGGAGACAGCAGAATAGAAGAGAAAGAACTGGAGAAGATAACAAAATGCAAAGACCTACAAATAGAAATAGAAAGACTGTGGCAAAAGCAAGCAAGGGTAGTACCAATAGTCATAGGCTCCTTGGGTGCAATCCCAAAACAATTGGAGCACCACTTGAACACCATTGGCATTGACAAATTCGCTATTAGTCAATTGCAAAAGGCAGCCTTACTAGGAACTGCTTCCATCCTGCAACAATATCTGTAATACCATCAAACATCCACATCTGCCTATCCCAGGTCCTAGGTAAGGACTCGATAAGTAGACAAAATGCCAAATCCAGTCTGAACATCTGGCTGACTGTGCGATGATCCATAATAAATATAACAACAACAACAATAATAAGGTTGAAAGGGACCTTGGAGGTCATCTAGTCCAACCCCCTGCTCAGACAGGAAACCCTATAATTTCAGACAAATGGCTGTCCAGTCTCTTCTTAAAAACTTCCAGTGTTGGAGCATTCACCGCTTCTGGAGGCAGGTTGTTCCATTGGTTAATTGTTCTAACTGTCAGGAAGTTTCTCCTTACTTCTAGGTTGCTTCTCTCTTTGGTTAGTTTTCATCCATTGCTTCTTGTCCTGCCTTCAGGCACTTTGGAAAATAGCTTCACTCCCTCTTCTTTGTGGCAGCCCCTGAGATATTGGAATACTGCTATCATGTCCCCCCTCATCCTTCTCTTCATTAAACTAGACATACCCAATTCCAGCAGCCGTTCCTTATATGTTTTAGCCTCCAGTCCCCTAATCATCTTTGTTGCTCTTCTCTGTACTCTTTCTAGAGTCTCAACACCTTTTTTACATCGTGGTGACCAAAACTGGATGCAGTATTCCAAGTGTGGCCTTACCAAGGCATTGTAAAGTGGTATTAATACTTCACGTGATCTTGATTCTATCCCTCTGTTAATGCAGCTTAGCAATGTGTTGGCCTTTTTGGCAGCTGCAGCAGACTGCTGGCTCATATTTAAGTGATTGTCCACTAGGACCCCGAGGTCTCTCTTACAGTTACTACTATTGAGCAAGGTACCTCCTATACTATACCTGTACATTTGGCTTTTCTTGTCTAAATGTAGAACCTTACTTTTTTCACCATTGAATTTCATTTTGTTAGATAGTGCCCAATGTTTAAGTCTGTCCAGATCCTCCTGTATCTTAAGCCTGTCTTCTGGAGTGTTGGCTATTCCTGCCAGCTTGGTGTCGTCTGCAAATTTGATGAGTTCCCCATCTATTCCCTCATCCAAATCGTTGATGAAGATGTTGAAGAGCACTGGGCCCAGAACAGAGCCCTGGGGCACCCCACTACACACTTCCCTCCATGTAGGTGCGGTTCCATTGAGGACCACACACTGAGTACGGCCGGTCAGCCAGCTATGGATTCATCTGGTGGTGATTCTTTCTAACCTACATTTTTCTATCTTATCAAGTAGTAGGTTATGATCTACTTTATCAAATGCCTTACTGAAATCCAAGTAAATTATATCCACAGTATTCCTCTGATCCACTAATTTTGTCACTAGGTCAAAGAATGCAATAAGATTTGTCTGGCATGATCTGTTTTTGATGAACCCATGTTGGGTTTTAGTAATGACTTTGTTTGCCTCTAGGTGTCTGCTGATTCATTGTTTGATTATCTTTTCCAGAATCTTCCCAGGTATTGAGGTCAGGCTGATAGGTCTGTAATTTCCTGGGTCCATTTTTTCCCCTTTTTTGAAGATGGGAACTACATCAGTCCTCTGATAGTTCCCCAGTGCTCCAGGATCTTTGAAAAATATAGTTCAATGGTTCTTAGATCACATCTGCCAGTTCCTTGAGAACCTTGGGGTGTAATCCATCTGATCCTGGTGATTTGAACTCTTCTAGGCTGGACAGGTGCTCAATTTCCATTTTCTTGCCTATCTTAACTTGTGTTTCTATTCTGTTTTTATGGCACTATTTTTGGTAGGTTAGTCTGTTTTTTCCCTTTGTGTAAAGACAGATGCAAAAAATGAGTTAACAAGTTCTGCTTTCTCCCTGTTGCTTGTCACCTTCTTGCCACTTTCCCCCACTAATGGACCAATCATTTCCTTCACTTTTTTCTTGTTTTTTACATGTTGAAAGAAGCTTTTTTTTGTTATTTTTGACTTTGGTCGCAAGCCTTAGTTCATTTTGAGCCTTAGCTTTCCTCACTTCATCTTTGCAGGTTCGAGCTATTTGTTGATCTTCTGACTTAGTTATGTGCCCCTCTTTCCACTTTCTATACTTGTCCTTTTTATCTTTCAATTTATCACAGAGTTCTTTATGCAGCCATGCTGGTTTCTTTTGAGAGCTGTTATTTTTCTTCTTTGTTGGTATTGTGCTAGACTGGACTTTTATTATCTCACTTTTCAAAATTTCCCAAGCTTCTTGACTTGTTTTCCCCTTGAAGATTCTCATCCATGGAGTCCTTCCCAAGCCCTCTTTAAGTTTACTGAAATTAGCTCTCTTAAAGTCCAAGACTCTAGTTTGACTGTGTTCTATTGCTTGTGCTTCCATAATGTTGAATTCCAATATTGCATGATCACTTCCTCCCAAGGTTCCTGTGGCTTCAACACCTTTTATAATTTCATCTCTGTTAGTGAGAATTAGATCCAAAATGGCTAATCCACTAGTTCCCTTCTCTACTTTTTGGAAGACAAAGTTGTCTGCTAGGTTTGCAAGGAATCTGTTTGATCTTAAGGGTTAAATTCTTCTTTCCAATTCTTGTGAATTTTTTCCCACTAGAATTAAATCATATTTCCTTGTTTTGTTAAGTTCCATCTTTAAGTCTCTAGTCTCAATTCTTTATCCATTTATCTGTTTTATCTGCTCCTTCTCTAATGTTGTTTTCTGGGAATTTTGTTGTTGTAAAGTTAACTTGGAAATAGATTGATTTATATTTTCAAAGTTATTTCAGATTTCTTTGTCATTTAAAGTCATTGTTGTTTGAATTAATTGCAGTATACTATATATCTCCTCCTATGAAGTATTCATGTTTTCTTGATATGTTCTTTCTACAAGATGGCCAAGAATTTGAGTTTTTCTCTTCCTTTCTTTTCTCTGCATGTAGCTTTAGAGCCCCAATTAGATAGCTATTTGTAATCCAAATAGTTCAAAAAAGTTTTTTTCTAAAATTTATAATTCTCTCTTTGTCTACAGCCCAGATTATTGTCTTTTTTTGTCATAGCTGTTCTTTGTTGTTAAAGCTTTGAAGGTCACAAACACAGATTAACTTTTCCCAGGTTTTGCCAAGTCTTATATTAAAGTCATAGCTGTCATAGTCTTCATCCACCACTAGGTGTCAGCATCTACAGTATTTGTTTTTCAATTTCTAAAATGAACAATTATCTTTAAAATGAGAGCCTTAACCATTCAACGATTTTAGATTTATCAGATTTAAGTTTTAAATTTCAGGTTTTATATTTATTTCACTTCCATATTTTGATCCTCCATAAAAAGATTAATTCCCCACTTCTGTTAGTATAAGGGTGGGGAGGAAATCTTCTTCCTTCCCTTTCAGAGGTATTTTGCTTCCTGGGGGTCTTTTCGAGGAAATTAAATGTAGAATAGAAAAGAGAAGATAAAATTCCTCACCCAGTTTCAAGCATGCTATTCACAAATGTGCTGATTAGTACTTTTGGACTTCAGTTGCAATTAGCTTGGGCTGGTTGATGCAATACAGCCAGCCTTTCTCCTTTCGTGTTAGAAGGCATTCCTCAAGTCAAACAGAATGGCTGCCATTCCAGAGTCGCTGGAGCACCCTCCTTTCTTTGCCACCTCTCCAGGCGACTTAGACCCATTTAGGATCCCCTGGCAGGGCAAAATTAGCTGCAGGGATGTGGAGAATCTGTAAGCCCACAACTGGTCTCTACCATACAAAATTGGAAGCAACTTTAAACCTGTGGACTTCAACTCCCAGAATTCCTCAACTAGCCATGATGGCTGAGGAATTCTGGGAGTTGAAGTCTCCAAGCCTTAAAAGTGCCAGGTTTGAAGACTCCTGAGCTAGCTGATAGTGATGCATATTAATAAACATGGATAGATTCATCATACATTTGTCATTGCAAAAGGAAAGTGATTCAGCAAAGGAACAGCCACCAAAGAAATTAAAACTGGTACTTTTTTCCTTTTTTTTCTACAGTTTGTAACATTTTATTAGATTATAGAATAAAATACAAAAATACAAAAGCAAATAGTAGGACACAATGGGGAGGAAAAAGGGGGGAAAAGTGAGAGGGAGAAGGGAAAAAGAACAGACTTCCTCTGTTGCAGTAGAAGGAAGCATTAACACTGAACCTCAACTTTTTACTTTTCTATAATATTATAAACTAGCCATTTCTATAACAACAAATGAATCTAATCAGTAGAACCCAAAATCCCCCCCCCCTTTTTTTAGCCATCAAGGTTTTGACACCTTGCTAAGCACTGCTGGTACTCAAAAGTGGTACAATCTGTGAAAAGGTTGAAAAGCCCTGCTCTAGATAACCTTGACTCCTGATGACTCCATGAACAAAAAGGTGTTTTGGAAGTGAGGGAATAGAGATGTGGTTTCCCACTACCTTCTACTGAAACACTTTTTAAACACTTTAGAAACTTAAAAAAATCCCCTTTCTATTCTAGTATTTAGGCATATTACCTGACTGTCTCTCATGCAAATATTAATTGGGCTTGGCCCTCATTAGTTTGGTGCTGTGATTGATCTTGCATTAAGATATTACAGTGTCAAAGTCATATATGTAATAAATTGCAAATCAGATCAAAGACCTAATCACTTTTTCCTGTGATTCATGACTCAGACATTGTAGCAGTTGCCCTCCTTCAGACTGGCAAGATCATGAAGGAAATGAAGCACCACACATAAAATCTCCCTCATTTCATGCATCAATTATATGCACAGGCAGCATCAGTGCAGTTGAGAATTCCCTACAGTTCCTACCTGGCGAGCCAGTAGTATGCCATGAAGGTCTTGAATCCCATTAAAGGAACGTACATGAGACACATACGGAAATTGTAGAATAAAATAATAATAAGTTCCTGTCAAAAAAAGGGAGAGAGTTAAAAAGTATGAAAAAATGTTGTGTTTGTCAGTTTCCTAATTACTTTATGCAAATTGGTTGATTTTAAAATACTTTACGTTATATGACGCAGATCACTTAGTTTAACAAAGAGCTGAAAGATCATATTTAAAAGAAAGTTATTGCACTGTAACATAGAACAACAGCAGAACAATTCGTTGGTCAGTTCTGCCCTGGAAATTACAAATATTACAAGTGAGAGCATGCAGCAATCTATGACCATTGAGCGCAACAGAATGTGCACACCCACTTCATGCCGCCCCCAGCTGCCCCTTCCTCATTGCTCTTCCCCTGTGACTTGTCCCCTGTCACTCCTCCCCCCCCAAACCCTGGGTAATTGGCTGCAGGACAAATTGCCATGGCCAATTCACCATGCAGGACAATTAGCCATGTGTCCCTCTGCACTTTGCGGAGCAGGTTCAATAAAGCTGCAAGGAATAACATCAGCATCAAGTAGGGTGGGGAGGGCCACTGCCTGCTTTTCCTTCAGCTGGGTGGATGGGCTCACCCTCCTCTCCTGCAGCAGACCCCATCTCTGCCCACTTGACAAGTCGCATCAGCTTTTACAAGCCAGCGCCCACCACAGTTCCTATCCAACTTCCCCCCTCCCTTGTCAGGTAGGAACTGTAGAGAATTCTCAACTGCACTGATGCTGCCCCTGGTTTTGAGGCTCCCTTCAATGGGGGATTTCTTGGGAGGGGCTCAGGGGCTCTACAGCAGTGGTGCTTTCTCTCCCCCCTTGGCAACTTTTAGAGCTTGGACTTCAATGTGGCCTCAAAAGCCAATGGGAGTGCTGGTGATGGCCCCTCTCACTCCAAGGAAACCTCCTCAGAAAGAGCAAGTGCCACCACCTCACTCTGTTTCTCCAGTTCCTGGCCCAGTGTCTCTCTGCAGAAGCAGCTGTCATGCAGCATATGTTAAGTGAATTTTGTCCCATTTTACGACCTTTCTTGCTACAGTTGCTAAATGAATCACTGCAGATGTTAAATTAGTTACAAAAATGTTAAGTGAATCTGGCTTTCCCATTCACTTTGCTGGTCAGAAGATTGCAAAAGGGGATCACTTCACCCTGGGACACTACAACCATCATGAGGAGTTGCCAAATGTCTGAATGTTGCTCACATAACCATGGGGATGCTACAATGATTGTAAGTATGAAAAATGGTCATAAGTCATTTTTCTGAGTGCCTTTGTAACTTTGAACAGTCACTAAATGAACTGTTGTAAATCAAGGACTACCTGCACAGGTTTTCCAACTATTGCAAAATATTGCACAAACACACACACACCCCTGCGGGCACATGCTCTCATTTCAGGTGCTTGATATTCATCTCACATTTACATTTTTGAAATCAGATCTGTTTTAATCTATGTGCTGTTTAGAGTTTAAACAAATAGGATCTAATATTGGAATTGCAGTAGCAGTTTAGCTCTTTGTTTTCATCAGATCCTTATATTGAACACAAGAGATCAGCAAGCAGCTAAAGAGTTAGTTCTTTGCTGACCTCAATTAATTCAATGCATACAGTTTCCCCCCAGCCTGTGAAAGAGAGGTGGCAAATCTGTAGGGGCTGATGGTGGCCAGCAGCAGTCGCAGCCCATCAGCCCCTTGGCACAGCACAGGTACGTCTGAGTGCAGAGGCAGATGCGGAGTGGGAGGTAGGTGTGAGGATCATGTGATGGCACCAGCAGCAGGCAGAGGCAAAGGCATGGGGGGAGGCAGGAGATCCGAACGTGCTATACGGACAGATCACTTGCCTCCTCCCCATGTTTCTGCCTCCCCCTGCTGCCTATGCTGACACATGAGCCTTCCACAAACTTCCCATGAGCCAGGAAAACACACATCATGATTGGATCACCTGCCTCCCCCCATGCCTCTAACTCCACCTGCTGCCAGTGCCACTGTGCGAGCCTCCTATGAGCCAGGCAGCTGCACAGCATGTCCAGATCACTTGCCTTCCCCTGGCTCTGCCTCTGCACTTGGACTTACCTGTGCTGCACATGCTATGGCTATCATCAGGCCTCCTGTGCTTGCTGCCTCCTGTGCTGGCTACAACCAAACACACATGGGCTTGGGGGGAGGCTTATATTAGGAGCACACTAAAAAAAAACAGGCTAGGGCTTATTTTCTGGGTGGCTCTTATTTTTGGTATATACTCTCCCATAGCAGAAGGTATTGTGTCTGCATGTCGGTCAAATACTTACACTCCACTGTTTCTTCTTGACAACATAGCGAAGTACAACTAAGTACGCAAAAATAACGAATGTTAAGGGTGCCAGTACTGGAAAAAATGAAAGCAAGAAAGCAAATATGTGTGAATCATTCAAAATTAAAAGCATTTCTTATATGCTTCCTCCTTCCTCTCATCTTTTCTACTCACTAATTAATTACTATTACACATTTCCTCCATCTGCTGGGCCATCCATTCCATGTCATTGCCAAACTTCATGTATGGTGGATTAGAACTCCAGTTTTCTGGGAGTTATCGTCTCACATCTGGAATGATTCATTTGGGAGAAAAACCGAATACTTTTATCAAAGCAATTTGACCTTTGATTCCAGATATTCCATTTTTCTCGTATGTTTCCACTGATTAATTGATTTAGCCAATTTATATAATTGCTCCTCTCCAAAAATGTGATTCTGAGTAGCTTACATAGTAACAAAACCATGTAACCATTCAAGAAACATCAAATATAAATAAAAACAAAAATTTAAAAAAATGGAAGTCCCCAAACCAGCTGGAGAACAACTACCACTTAACCTCAGAAACCCCTTTGAAGGCTCTCCACAGGACGGCCAAGGCTGATGGAAGAACTGTTTTAGCGTTAGACTAACTTTTTGGTGCAAAATGGCAGAAGTACTCACAGATAAAATATTTGTGTTGGTGCTGGTAAGGCATGTATTTCTTTTTCTTTTTTCCAAGCTACAGGAGAAACACAGCAGTTTAATGAAGGACAAAATAAACCACTCTTCAAGATAGACTTAATAGCCTCTCTTCTTCACAGTTCAGCTCAAGAATTGTAAAAAGTGATTGGTTCTCCTCATTAAGGGCAGATTTTGTCCATGACTTTGCATTTGAGGAGACTTGATCCATCCCATCTGGACAAAAGTGGATACCAGGGACAGGAAACTTTTCTATGTCTAGTAAATGAAGAGTGCAATAATATTTGCAGTAATATTTTTGTGCTCCTGGAAGCTCATAAATGTTGTGAATGATATAATAATACCATACAAATCAGAACAACGAAGGGTTTTTTTGAAGTGTTTTTGTATTTAGCAGGATAAGTTCAGACTGGGTAGTTTTAGGAAGTTTTTTTTAATTTGTCTCTTGAAAATCTGCAGCAAATGGCAATGCGTATGTTGCTGAATCTCAGTGGTGGAAAACTGGAAGTCTGGGAAACTTCAAAAGAAAAAGATAAAGGGGAATCAGGCACCACACACAGCTTACAAGCCCCTGGGCTACCCGTGTCTGATTACAAGTTGTTCAGGCATTCATAATTTTTTGAATATGATTATCTAAACTTTACTCACCTCCACAGAGAGAGACTTCCCTAAGCTGAAGACAAATGGGTGCATAACAAGATCAGGATCCTTCTGGAAACAGTTGGGCTTGGCATGATGCTGGTTATGCATGTCAGTCCACCAAGACTTTGGGAAACCCTGTGAAGAAAATGTTGAAATGCATACATACATTCCAGTCTTTATTTCTTCTTTGGAAGAGCTAGTATTACCATGTACGTTATACCTGATCTAGCTGCTTTCCCCTGCCCACAATCCCCCTACCCCAATTGCTGGCACATTAGAAAAATATAGAAATACAAAAGTGAGCAAATAGAGAAACTATGGAACCATCTTTTCCATTTTCAAGGGCATTGGGCTAATGGGACAAAGGTCACAGCATCTTCAGCTAATGATTCCAGCATGACTGACGGTGTAAAAATGTAACTACACTAAAGAAATTCTGTGATGTGGACTTAGAGACATAATTATCAATTGCAAACCATTTATTCTCCACATTTATTTGCAACATACATTTTGTCCACAAGCTTGCATAAACAATGCATTACAAACTCTAGCTGACCAGATTCTGTGGCTGAACAGAAATATCCAGATTTACTCCTCATTGTGTTAGGAGATTTCAACAGTGCTAACTTAAACCAAGAGCTACCAAGATGCCTTCAGCATGTCAACTGTCATCCTAGAGGCAAAAGATTGGAATGTTTTTGAAGATACCTCTGCAGACTTGGATGAACTCACAGATACTGTATTATCACATGTTAGTTTTTGTGAAGACCTATGTGTGCCAACCAGAAGCCTGTGAACACACAGTAACAACAAGCCTTGCTTCACAGCTAAACTCAAGCAACTATGTTGTGCCAAAGAGGAAGCTTATAGGAAAGAAGATAGAATGCTGTACAATCAGGCCAGAAATATATTAACAAGGGAGATCAGTGCAGCAAAAAGAAGCTACCCTGAAAAGCTGAGGAATCAGTTCTCAAAAATGAACAGCAAATGTGTGGAAAACTCTTTAAAATATCACTGGTTACAGCAAGCAACTTTTCCATGTTGAAGGGAATCGACAACTGGCAGATGACCTGAATCTGTTTTACTGTAGGTTTGAGGGGAAACCACTGTCAACTCTTGCCATATCTCCATCTCAGATACACCAACAGCCAAGCCTCCTACAACTGACCTCATCTCTTTGAGCCCCCCATCTCTGGTGATCACAGAAAAAGATGTGCGAGATCTATTTCACAGACAAAAGCCTGGAAAAGCACCAGGCCCAGACAAGGTAACTCCTTGCTTGAAAGCTTGTGCTGATCAATTGGTCCTCATCTTCATCCACATCTTTAATAAATCACTAGAGATGTGTTATCTTCCTTCTTGCTTCAAATGCTCTCCTATCATCCCAGTGCCGAAGAAACCCTCCTTCAAGGATCTGAATGACTACAGGCCAGTTGTTCTGACATCCATAGTTATGAAAACCTTTGAAAGGTGAGTGCTGGCCTACCTGAAAACCACCACAGATCTTCTGTTAGACCCCTTGCAATTTGCCTACCAAGCAAATAGATCAGCAGATGATGCTGTTAATATGTCTCTGCACTATATCCTACAATATTTTGAATCTCCAAGGACCTTTGCAAGGGTCCTTTTTGTAGTTCAGCTCGCCATTCAATATCATCATTCCAGATTTTCTTCTCACTAAACTGATTCAGCTAGCTGTGCCTAATCACATTTGTAAATGGATCATAAGCTTTATAACAGATAGGAAGCAGCAGATGAAGCTAGGCAAAATCACATCAGATACCTCTATGTTAACAGGGCTGTGTGCTCTCTTCACTTCTCTCTCTATTCCAATGACTGCATCTCAAAGAATTCCTCTGTTAAAGTTCTGAAGTTTAGGGATGATACAACAGTGATTGGACTCATTCGAGACAATGACAAATCTGCATACAGACGGGAAGTTGAACAACTAGCCTTGTGGTGCGGCCAGAACAATCTTGAACTGAACACATTCAAAAGTGTAGAAATGATAGTAAATTTTAGGAGCAGCCCTCCTATTCTACCACTCTTACAATATACGACAACACAGTATCAACAGTAGAGACCTTCAAGTTTCTAGGTTCTATAACTTCTCAATACTTAAAATGGACATCTAACACCAAAAACATCATTAAAAAAGCATAACAAAGAATGTTCTTCCTGCGCCAACTCAGAAAGCTCAGATTGCCCAAGGAACTACTGATACAGTTCTATAAAGGAATTATTGAGTTTGTTATTTGTATTTCTATATCTGTCTGATTTGGCACTGCAACCAAACAAAACAGACACAGACTTCAACGGATGGTTAGAACTGCAGAAAAAACAATTGCTACCAGCCTGCCTTCCATTGAGGACCTGTATACAGCACGAGCCAGAAAGACAGCTGTGAAAATATCTAAAGACCTCTCACATCCTGGACATAAACTGTTTCAGGTTCTTTCCTTCAGGCAACGCTGTAGGTCATTAAACGCCAAAACAACTAGACATGAGGACAGTTCCCCCGCATGCTATTACTCTGTTAAACAACTAATTCTCAATTCTTTCAACACTATGAAAGTACCTCTATTATTATCCTTCTCATTCTTCCTTATCTATTTCCTTATCTTCCTATGACCATAACTTTGTTGCTTGTATCATAATTTATATTGATTGTTTTATTTAGTAGCCTAGTATGATTTATTTTGATTGCTTATTTCGTCTGTAGTCAACATATGCATAAGTACTCAAAGATTCGTACTCATTGTTTAATATACCACTCTTTCTCTATTCTACTATAACTTCTGTTCCTTTATTACTTCTCTTTGTGAGCCCTATTTCTGGAAAACAGCAACTATTCTATTTGCCCTATACTGCTTCAGGATGTTTTAGTTTCCAAAACAAACACAAACCACTTTTCCTCCCATTCCACAACAACACCACTCTATCCATTTGCCTCTCTGCTCAGTTTTTAAAGATATCAATTGCTGGGCTGGCTAAGGAGAGGGCTTAAAGCAGGCATGTCAAACTGCCGGCCCATGGGCCAGATGCATCACATCAAAACCGCACCCACACCATTGCTGGCAATGGGGAAAAAGTGATGTTGCAAGTTTGACATGCCTGGCTTAAAGGGACAGAGCACCAGCAATTCAGAAGCTGGCAGTTTGTCTTTTCAGAGGAATCCAAGGCAGATTTTGCCAGATGTAAAAATAATAAATCTGTTTATTGACAAAATTTCTATACGTCAGTTACAAAAGGTCTCATTTGTTGAATCTGCACATTTATTATGCCAATACATTATAACATTCTAAAATTTGGGGGGAAATGTTATATGTATGAAAGATAACACCAGCTAAAGAACTAGCAGCTGTGATTTCACATTGTTATGTACATAATGTAGTCATTGATAAATACTGTAACAAATTTTAGCACGGATATAGCAATAGAATTTGGCTTAAAGAAATGTGCTAGAGTCACAATAAAGCAGGGTAAAATCACAAATAGTAATGGAACTGTAGCACCAAATGTCCCAACCATCAGGAGTCATCAGAATGAAGTCTACAAATATCTGAGTACTTCACTGAGTTGGATAACATCAAGTACAGACAAATTAAAAATGTGATTAGTTAACAATACATCTAAAGAGTGAGAAAAGTACTAAAGATAAAATTGAATGGTGGAAACACCATCAAAGCCATTGATACTTGGGCCATCCCTGTGATACAATACACTACTGGAATTATTAACTGGACACAAGCTAAACTGTACAATTGGGACTGAAAAGCAAGAAAACTGATACTATTCACTATGAGTTTTACACACTCTCTCTCTCACACACACACACACACGTAGTGAAATTGATAAATTATACTTGTTCTGCAGAAATAGAAGCAGAGGCTTACTTCAAGTCAAAAATTCTGACAAGATGAAAAACATGTAGTGGCTGATTATGTAAAAGATAGCCAAAAACAAACATTGATGCAAGTTAAAGTTGGAACTTACAGAAAGTACAGAAAACAAATATCAAACCAGTGTAATAAAGACAGAATATAATGCTGACAAGGAAAAGTATTACATGGTTAATTTCTACAAAAGGTTGGGGGAAAGGTGGTTAAAGATAAAACCTGGCAATAGCTTACCAACTGGAATATTAAAAAAAAAGAAACTGAAGGCTTGACTTTGGCTGTTTAAGAGCAAGCTATTTGAATTAATGCAATTGAGGACAGAAGTGAAAAATCATCAAATGATTCACAGTGCAGATTGTACAAAGAAGCAAAACAAACAGTAGAATATATACCCAGCTCATGCAAGAAGATCACACAAACTGACTGTAAACAAAAACACAACATATTTGCCAAAATGATTCACTGGAAAATCTGTAAAAATTGTCATGTGCCAGTAATGAAAAATTGGTGGCACATACTGTAATACAATTGAAAAAGTAGTTGAAAATGAGCAGGTTAAAATATTGTGGAATTTCCAAATTGATAAAGTCTTGGCTCATAATACAGCAGATATAACTGCAATTGAAAAGAAGAAAGCATGGATAATTGATGTGGCAATAACTAGGGAATAGTAGAATAGAAGACAAAGAACTGGAGAAGATCATAATCGAAAGATTATGGCATAAACGCTACAGTGTCCCAGTGGTTATTGCACATTGAGTGAAATACCAAAAGTATTCTTGCATGGCACATTGACAACATTTCCATCTGATAATTGCAAAAGGTCACACTGCTTGGATCCACACATATCCAATACATTATGACATCCTAGGTCCTTGGAAAGAACTTGATGCATATGAAAGCCCACACTAGCTAAAGAACTGGCAGTTGTGACTTCACATTGTTAAGAATAGATAATAATAATAATAATAATAACAATGCACTGGATACAGATAGGAAGATCAGAAAAATAATAACAATGAATCATGCCCTTCATCGACACAGCAAAGCTGACAGGCTCTACCTACCAAGGGCATGGGATATTGCAAGTAGAGTAGATAGTTGAAGAAGAAAAAAAGGCATTGGAAGAATAATTGAAGGACAGTGAAGAAGATGCTATGAAACTAGTAAACCTTGAAGGCTTACTGAAAACCAGAGAAATCAAACTGGCCTACAAGAAAGACCAAATTAAGAATAGAAAAGAGACAAAGCCAAAGTATTAACTCCAGTAGACCAAAAAAAAAAAAAAAAAATCTAGCAGGCAAAGCAGACAACAAGCCATGGCAAATCCAAGAGCATGAAAGTTGAAGAAAGAGATAAAGGGGCTAAGTTTGGTTGCACAAGACCAAACCTTAAGAACAAATACATATGAAGAGAGAAAGCAACAGACAGCAAACACTGTCTCTGCAAAAAAAACTGAAGAAATGGTGGACGACCTAATTATCTGTGGCAAAAAGACTGTACAGACTGACTACAGAGAACAGCATGACAACACACAACAATGATGTAAGGAAATATTTGCAAGAAATACCGTTTGCCTGCAATGGTAAGCAAGTGGTTCAACCATGAAACAAAGTAATAGAAAATTAAGAAGCTAAAGTATTCTAAGGACTTTAGAATTCAAATAGACAATATAACACCTCAGAGTTAACAACTGTCCATTAGAAAGACAAACAAACCCTGAACAGTGGACATCACAGTACCTTGAGATAGTAGAACAGAAGAGAAAGAACTGGAAAAAATTACACAATACAAAGACCTGCAAATAAAATTAGAAAGATTGTGGGGAAAGAAAGCAAAGATAGTACCAATAGTACTAGGCACCTTGGGTGTAGTCCCAAAACATCTGAACCACCACTTGAAAACCATTCACAAATGACAAAATCGCCATTAACCAATTGCAAAAAGGACCTTTACTTGGAACACCTTACATCCTATGACAAAATCTTTAACACCATCAAAGAACATTGTCCCAGTCCTAAACATCTGGCTGACTGTGTGACCAACCATAATAATAATTTAAACTTGTATGTGGCCTGACTCCTACAATTCTGGGTGACCAATAACAATTTAACTTCAACAAAGTTAACAAACACGCTCTCAGTTTTAAACTCTTACCTTAAGGAATGCAATCACAAAAGTCTGAGCCAGTCTGTTCCATTTAGGCTTCTGGAAGACTGAAATATGCCCAAGATCATGCTGAAAGAAACCATATTGGATCTAGAAAGCAAGAAGAACATGAATTGTATGAGAATTTTCTTTGGCCAAGTTCTTCGTTTTTAAAGATTTATTGCTCATTTTAAGCGATCATATTCTCAGATATTTATCTGAGGAGAATTTAAATTGGGAAGAACAATAGGAGCTGTTTTATATAATGACATTAGCAAAGGAAATGTAAGCATCTTCATCCTATTGAAGGAAACCATATTGGTTCTGGAAGGCAAGAAGCTACACCAAGTGTGTATGATTTTCCCAAGCAAGATTTTGATTTCTAAAGACTGGTTGCTTTGTTTAAGCACTCATTTGGAAAGTGATTATATTTATAAATGCAATGACAGCTATTTATGTACCAACGGTAGCAAAGAAAATTAAACCGAAATGTAAGCACATTTCATCCTAAGCATTACTGATTCCTAGAAGGCTAAGAAGAAACAGTTATACTTTCTAGTAAGGCCATGTCATGCAGAATGCTTTGCATTACACTTGAAAGACAACTACATATTGAAATGAAACTTTTAAATATAATGGGAGCAGAGTGGGAGCAACATTCTGTCCAGAGTCATCTTGTAGGGGAGATGGGCAGCATAAAAATTTAATAAATAAATAAAGTAAAATAAATACATCCCCATCAACTTCTATAGGGCTGCTGTAATGATTTCAAGCCTCCAGCCGTATGAACAGGATTTTAGCATGAATGTAACCATTTCCAAGAGAGTAAGGGCTCCATTTATGATAAATGTTGGGAGAACTGGCCCACTACATTGTTGTTAGCCTTTAAAAGCTATAGCAATGAGGCAGGTTGAAGTTATACAAAAGGACTCCAACAGCTGCACTGTAATATTTAGGTATGGTGTAGATGAGGAGGAAATTTGATAACAATATTTTTGCCCACAAATTCCGTTAACATTGAGATTCCCCTTCTTTAATAAATGGAGCCAATGGGAATTGCAATTGATTCTGGCCTGCATGATCAGAGATAGAAATTCACTAGTACATTACTTGTAGAGTGGTGAATATTACTATACTACTAAATTAAGTATGCTGAAGTCTGTTCTACAACCCTGCTATACTCTGCAGCACAAAGAGTTACCTGTGAAACAGTGAATAGTGTTACTCCAATAAGGAAAGGCACCCAAGTTTTTCCAAAGTACCAGATAGTGAACCAGGATGCCACATCCAGCAGGAACGCATGCAGAAAGATGACAGCAAAAAAAGGAACACTGGACTTCAAGAGTCCCATCTTCTCCACTTTCGTGCGTAATTCATGAAAATCATGTACCAGCATTTCCTATGAGAAATAGTGACACTTAATTATGCTCCCAGCAACTGATTTCCCAACCATGTTCAATAATTGCTGTATTTTCACCTTCCATGAGATCACAAAAGTAATGAAAGTTATACCTAACTGTGGAAAGACTTCTGGTTTTGCACGGTAGTGACCGATCGTGGGCTTGCAGATTCTCCACACCCCCGCAGCTAATTTTGCCCTTCCAGTGGACCCTAAATGGATCTAAGTTACCCCAGAGAGGTGGCAAAGAAAGAAGGGTACCACAGCAATTCTGGAACAACAGTAGTCATTCTGTTTGACTTGGGGAAAGCCTTCTAACTTGACAGGAGAAGGGCTGGCCATACTTCATTGTACAATATACTTCAAGCTAATTGCAACCAAAGTCCAAAAGTACTAACCAGCACTACTGTGAACAGCGTGTTTGAAACTGGGTGAGGAATTTGATCTTCTCTTTTCTATTCTATATTTAATTTCCTGGAAAACATCCCCAAGAAGCAAAATACCTCTGAAAGGGAAGGAGTGGGATTTCCACCCGATCCTTATACTAACAGAAGTGGCGAATTAATCTTTTTATGGAGGATCAAAATATATGGAAGTGAAATAAATATAAAACCTGAAATTTAAAACTTAAATTTGGATAAATCTAATATTGTTGAATGGTTAAGACTTTCATTATAAAGACAATTGTTCATTTTGGAAATTGAAAAACAAATAGATGCTGACACGTAGTGGTGGATGAAGACTACAATAGCTATGACTTTCATATAAGGCTTGGTAAAACCTGGGAAAAGCTAATCTGTGTTTGTGACCTTCAAAGCTTTAACAACAAAGAACAGCTATGACAAAAAAAGACAGTAATCTGGGCTGTAGTCAAAGAGAGAATTATAAATTTCAGGAAAAAAATCTTTTTTGAACTATTTGGATTACAAATATCTATTTAATAGGGACTCTAAAGCTATTTGCAGAGGAAAAAAAAGAGACTCAAATTCTTGGCCATCATGGATCAGAGACATGTGGAAAGAACATATCAAGAAAACATAAATATTCCACAGGAGGAGATATATAGTATACTGCAACTAATTCAGACAACAGTGATTTTAAATCACAAAGAAATTCAAAATAATTTTGAAACTATAAGTCAATCTATTTCCAAGTTAACTTTACAACAAAAAAATTCCCAGAAAACAACAACAGACAAGGAACAGATAAAACAGATGAGAGGATATAAAATTGACAATAGAGACTTAAAGATGGAACATAACAAAACAAGGAAATATGATTTATTCCTAGTGGGAAAAAATTCACAAGAATTGAAAAAAACAACTTATCCCTTAAGACTACAAAATCAATCTGAAGACAAGAAAACAGATTGGATAAAATGTACTTTAGAGATGTCAGGAACAATGGAAAGAAAATGATAGGAGAAGCCGAGAGAAAGAAAAAGAAAAAGATTTTCAACAAACATGGAAAGGCAGAAGCCCCGTACAAAGACACTTCACCTGATTTACTTTTTAAATCTACAGAAACATTTATGAATATGTGGAAAAACTTTTTGACTCAGCAAAATATATTGATCAAGAAATATATTGGGCAAAGGAAAAAGACTAAAGTGGAAATCAAGAAAATAGATGATGGGATCTATCAGAGAGAATACTTAAAAAAGAAATATTTGTTTGAATATGGTTAAAGAAGTAGAAGAGATCTGGAATAAATATGTCATTCTAAGAGGGATGAATCCCTCAAATAATATAGTATGCTTCCCCCCCCCCTTTTTTATTCTATTTCTTGATATGAGTAATATAAAGAAGTTGAAATGGCTTAGATAAAGGAAATGTTTTAGATATTTAAATGTGATTGAATTTAAGAAAATTTTAATGGATAAAAATGTTTTGAATAAGAGTTAAAGGACTAGATGAATAGATATATTAAATGGAATATTTAAAGATTAAACATATTTTTAATTATGGTTAAAAAGAATAAGAAATCTTGGAAAGAAATATATATTAGCTTAGGAGAGATATACTGTATATGTTAAGTAGTATGTTATTTTTTTATGTTTCTTTACTCTTGTTCTCCTTTCTTTTTTATTGTTTTATCTATTCCTTAAGAAATGTAAAAGTGCTGAGATGGTTCATATGGCAAAAAAAAATAGACTTAAATCTTTAAATGTAATTAATTTTTGAGAAAATCTTAACCAGTAAGAATACTTTGAATTTTGTGGGAGAAACAAATTTAAATAAGGTCTGTAACAGGATCTATGATAAGGCAATCAGAATGATTGGATAGAAAAAAAATATTATATTGATGTGATTATTATTTTAGGAACATTGGGAAAAATATATATTTAATTGTTATCTATCAAAACAATAAGAATTGTATTAACTCAATGCTTGCAAAAGAGGACATTCGAGGAAAAGAGAAAATCAACTAAAACCATTATGGGGATTATGGATTATAGAAATCAATTGTTAGTGATTGATTTACAAATGTAAACCCTGACAACACACTGTTCACCAATTATTAAGTGATTTATGTTTTAAAAAAATCAATAAAATATACTGCTCAAAAAAATAAAGGGAACACAAATGTAAAGGATCCTATACGTTTGTGTTCCCTTTATTTTTTTGAGCAGTATATATTACCAAAAAAAAAAGTTATACCCAATTGCTTATTTGTATCTGAGTCAATGTCTCAGCAGGTACATGTGAAAAGTACTTTCTGCTGCTTCCTTATTTTCACTTTAGCCAGAACAAATATTGCATAAGAGATAGTTTAAAGAAATTAGTGAAGGTGAATTAATTATCACAAGGTGAATGAGGCTCACTGCAGTTTATCAACATATGTCAAGCTGCTCTGTTTAAGAAAGAACATACCAAGGGAAGTTTTGGCTCATATTTAAACTGTGTAATAAACATCTATTCTTACAACAAACTAGTCATTCTTGAATATTATACATTCTCAGACTATGGTTTGACATGTGATAGTGTAAAATGATTCTTTTTTAACATATACATATGCATATAGCTATACATATGCTTGTAAATGTATTTTCAGATTTAAATTTCCTTGTGGGTTCCACTTGATTAGACAAGTAAAGTATAACTGAGTAAATAAATACAACAATGAATAAGTCTTAAATGTTTAAAACAATGAAGGTTCTGATCCTACAAAGAAAATCCTGCATCTAAGGTCATCATTGCCCTGATGTGCGTTGACTTACTAGATATAAAAATGGGCAAATTTTCAGATCTATCAAGATGCATCAATTGTAATCAATCAGCTGCTGATTGATTAAAGGCTAAAAGGTCACAGAGGGCTACTATTTATTTATTTCCCCTCCATAAATTCCAGCAACTTCAAAATACTGCTAAATACATGTTCATCCTAGGACAGTGATGGCGAACCTTTTAGAGACCGAGTGCCCAAAACCTGGCCCCACCCCCACTCCAACCTCCTGCCCTGCCCCCGCTCTGCCCCCCATCCCCCACCCCACTTGCCCACAGGACCACTCACTGCCTCCAGGGCCCACCGCAGATCACCCAGGCAGCCCAGCAATGCTATGGCGGCCACACCCTCTGCCCGCACCCTGCAGCATCAACTGCATGATGGGGTGTGAGGGCAGAGTCTTGTCTACGCTGCCTGACTGCCATGTCCTTGGCTGCACTGCTCCGTGTAGGCCATGCTCAGGGGCGACTCTCCTTCAGGGAGGCTGCTAGAGAGGAGGGGGCTGCGGGGGGAGGCAAGGCTGGGGCAATGGCACGTGTGCCCACAGAGAGGGCTCCTAGTGCTGCCTCTGGCACCCATGCCATAGGTTTGCCACCACTGTCCTAGGAATTTGTATTCAGGGCCAGAATTAAAGTTTCTGTTAAGCATATTTTCTTTTATATGCACATGCTAATTTTAGAGAGGTGTCTTCATTTAAATTGTTTAATTTAGCAGAAAAATGGCTTGTTGTCATTCAGGAAGAAATTAGTACTGCAAAAAGTAGAACTCTAAACAAATCACTAAGGGAACTTTCAATGCAACTTCATGTAGATTATGTTCTGTCTAACCCATGCTCTAATTGTAATACAAGATTTTGCCATTTTGTGCATGGATTTTATTCTCTCTCAGACTCAGACACACATGGACACACTTTGAGGTCTAAAGATAATGCTGGGAAATACTCACATTTTTGGTGGGCTCACAGCTAGGTTGATCCGGTGTTAGCTCTCCAATTAACAGGGAATTCAAGTATTTCTTTATCAGATCCTCATCCTTGTGGAAAGCTTTAACGGCAGCCTAAGAAATTCAGAAAGAAAGGTGTATGAGGGAAAATGTATTGATTTATGACATTTGTATAGCCCCCCATCTTAAAACCAACTCTTGGGTAGGTGGCTTGGAGTTTTTTGTGAAAAGATGAAACATCCTGAGGGTGATTTTCTCCAACAAGCTTTAGAGGAAACCAGCTCCACAACAATGGCTCATTTTGAGGGCTGAGACAATCTTATTTTGGTTTATCTGATGGAAGAGCAGAGCAGGACTTTCCTCCCTTGCAATGCTAGGTACTTGAGATGATCCGGTTCTCTCCTGGTTTTGCCATGATTCACCGTGCCTCTCCAAATGGCTACTGGAAAGATCTTGCTCAACATCTGCTACACTCTAGCAATAGTAGAGTATGGATTGGGCCACCTTATCAGTAAGTCTAATCTTAATCCTCTTGATAATTAAAATAATGTCTAAGCCTTTTCATCAAGCCCTTTCCTTATCTACTTTCCATCTACTGGGTTCTAACAAGCCACTTTCCTCTCCATTGGCCCATACACAGCTTTTCCCCACAGCACACAAGCATGGTTACAGCTATTGTGAAAAGCCACCTGGGTGTAAATGGCTGCCTTGTTCTCCAAGCAAGATAGGCAGGGAGATGGGGAGGCAGAACAGGGGTGTATCAAGGGAGCACAGTCTAAGAGCAGGTCTGACTTGGCATTCTATGTTAAACATCTTTTTTATGGGATCCTGCCTCAGAGAAAAATTCTTCATGGTGACTTCCATAAAAACAATAGAGGCATGTCTAGCATTTAGGTCTGAAAAACAGAGTTTGGCAGTGTAGCTGCTTCCTGAGCTCTCAGGCCTGAAGGCTGGAAAGGAAGGAGAAAGGAGTTCAAGGCTGTCTGTGAGGAAAAAAAGGAGGAGGGTCTGTCTACATGATTGTGTGTCAGAAGCAAGAATGGAGAAAATAGGAGTGTGAAAGCAAGAAGAAAATGTGATTTTCTAATGTCCCACGGAGGCAATGTCTTCCTTTCAGCATGGAGCTCTTTCTTCTGGAAGAAGCAGCATTTTCCCTCTCTGCTCCAAAAAGGAGGAGGAGGAGAAGAAGATTTAAAAGGTGCCAAAGCAGCGTGATTGGCTCATAGGAGATCGGAGGCTGCAGAAGAAGGAGGGGTCTCACATCCACAAGTGCCGCAAGGCGAGCTGAGAACCATCATGCTGGCAGAGCCAACCAAGAACCCAAGAAGAGTGGAGGTCAAAGGCAGGGGTGGGGTGTCTGACTATCAGACCTGAAGAAGCTTCTTGGATGAGAAGGAAGACGTTTTGAAAAAGTATCTTTCAGACATCCGTGCTTTATGTTATAACTAAATTTGTTAGACACTCAACTGATGGAGTTAAACCAGGCATTCAGAAGACTAAACTCCCACTCATTGAGATCAATAGAGCCAGACTGATTCTTAGGCCCAAAAAGACCTTCACCAGCAGAACAAAATGTAAGACAGCTGAACTTACACATATCAAGAGGTCTCAGGGTACCTCAGAAGGCTTTAACGAAGACACTGGGGTTTTAATCCATCATGATTATATAACCTGCTTCTCAAGAAATCCTCATCAGCTAAGTCCCAGTTTTCTCCATTCATTTCCCATTCTCTTCCCCTTCCACTTGTCACATTTAATGCACATAAATCCAGCATTTAGTCTTTCTGTGCATCTGATGAAGTGAGTTATAGCTCAATTCTCCAATTGTAGCATATCAACTACTATTGCTTTTATGTGATTTGTTTACTATGAATTGCATTGTTGTGAAGTTCTTGCAAATAGTTAATATTACTGGCTGAGGATTCATCCTTAAAGAAGATATTCACAATCACAGAGTGACTACACATAATTCTTTCATTCAGTATAATTCTCTTTCATATAACCAAAAGCAGTATGATTTAATGGCAAGGTAGAAGTTTTAATAATATCAGTGCTGGTCTTGGTCACAAGTATGCTATGAACACCTGAATGTCCCCTTAATAGGTGGTTTAAATTAAAGAGAACCTTCAGTCAGGGGTTAAGGGCAGAATATATCATGTATTTATTTATGTCTAGAAGTTACAGTATGTTTCTAGAAAGTATGATCTTTTTTCATTTGCTGCAGATGCTTCCAAAATCGAAAGCCCTGATAGATGTGCAAGAACAGAGAAGATGTTTCTGAGCTTCAGCTACTGATCCTTGTATATGCACATTACAACAGGTAACTAGAAAAAGTCCATAATTCTGATAAATATATTCTTGGTCTATAAACCATTGTATTATGAAATTGCATTATAAAATATATAATTTTATCACAGGTGGTGGCATGTAAACATGCTACATGATATTGGATAAATGTGATAATGGTTATGCAGAAAATGCTTAAAACACAAATATTAATGGAACCTTTTCTCCTAGATCAGTGGTGGCAAACCTATGGTACACATGCCAGAGGTGGCACTCAGAACCCTCTCTGTGGGCATGCGTGCCATGCCCCGGAGATGGCAACCGTCCCTCTTTAACCAGCTGCCCACTAACTCACCGAAGTCCCACATGGCCGGATGCATCCCAGCACGGCTTGTTTCCCTCCCACCCATCCCATTCCTCCTGGCCTCACATGTTCTCCTTTTCCAGGGCACAACCCACTGCATCACCTCCTCAGCTGTCAGCCAGTCATCCAGCTCAGAGGTGGCTTCTCTGAACTGCTGGTGGCAGGCTGCAGAGCCCCAGAGTGCGCCGGTTGAGGGGCCAGCAGGCTGTGGCTGCTGACAGACACGGTTGGCCCCCATGCACTTGCTGGCCTCTGTGTGTGGGGACTGATGGTGTCAGGCAGCGGCCACTCTGACCCCTGCCTTGCCCCGCCATGCCTCACCTTGCCTCGCCTCACCCCGCAGGACGAGCCTCCTGCCCACCGCCCCACCTGCCAGAGACCCCCTGGATCTCCCCCAAACCTGTCTGGCCCCCACAGGCATCCCTCCCCATGAGCAACATCAAAGTGACCATGCCCACCTTGGCCACACCCACCCAGTTTGCCATAACCATCACAGCCACGCCCACCCAGTGGGCCATGCCCACCTGGCACCCAGCGATAACTAAGTGGGTTTTGGGTTGCAGTTTGGGCACTTAGTCTCTAAAAGGTTTGCCATCACTGTCCTAGATATTATGGATAAATCAACAAAAAAACAAAAACAACATTTTTTTATATGGTGACAGCTGCAAGGATTGCGTATGCCAAATATTGGAAAGAAACAGGAATATCAATAGTGGAAGAATGGATTTTGAAACTGATGGAATTGGCAGAAATGGTGAAATTAACTGCGCTGATTAGAGATGATGGTTTGGGTAAGTTTATAAAAGATTGGAAGCCATTTGTGGAGTTTCTGTGAGTTAAATATAATAATGGGCTGTTCACAGAGGGCTTTGAAATTTAATATATTTTGGGGGTTAACAGTTAACAGATTGTTTTACAGCAAACAGATATTGGGACGATTTGATTGATAGACAATAGATTTGAATATCTGAGATATTTGTTAAGAGAATGTGATATAAAGTAGTAATTTATAAGCTTAGATGAAAAAATGTATAACTAGTTGTAAACATATAATGCAAGGGAGTGAAACTATTTGATTTGCATGAGATTCAGGTATCAGTATTCAACTAGGGTGGAGGTCATATGTTTATGGTTAATCTTATATTCTTTGTATACACATTTTCCTCATATCTTGCTAATTCTTGTTTTGATGGTTTTATGCTGCATAAAATAAAACATATAATAAAAATGAGACGTATACAATAGAGGGTACAGATCCCAAACTTACCTGGAAATTAGTAAACCTACATATATCAAGGGGGTTCACTCTGTCTCAGAAGGCCTTAATAAAGACATCTGATAAAATTAGCTACAGCTCAGTCCTCCAACTGTAGCATATAAACTCCTATTGTGAGTATGTGATTACTTCACACAGCTTTACTTAAACATTGAATCAAAATATTTCTTATAAAAAAATTATGACTGTATAAATCATTCTATTATGAAATATACAATAGAGATTCTAAACTTATCTAGAATCCAGTCTCCACTGCATTTACAAAAAATGCTAAAATCCTGAAATACTTGATAGAGGTCACCAGTGCTTTTTTTGTAAGAAAAAAGGTGCCAGAACTCACATCTTGTTAATCTTTTATTTAAAAAATTATATATTCAGTTCTTAACATAAATTTAAGTTATTGTATTTAAGCAAATGTTCATAGTAAATTTTATACTAAAAATTAAAAAAAGATTTTCAATTCACCAACGATTTTTTAAACTAAAGAAATAATTTACATTTCAAATGTAGTCAATCATTGTACATACACCCATGCACATCGGTTGTGTAACAAAGCATAATGGTCGCCACCCGCAGTAAGCACTCAGTGCGTGACCACATGACCAATCACAAGCCGAGCAGTACCACAAACCAGGCAGCACCATCACAACCAGCGCGGAGGAAGTACGCATGCATTGGACTCAACACACAAGCAGCCCACGTGCACTGTGTTACTGATTTTGCCGCCAACCTGCTATGCTCAACAGGGCGATTCAAGTCCATGTGGACCAAACATCAAATTTTCAAAAGTTATTTTTAAAACTTGGAAAATCCGTCAAAAAAAGCTGGCGGAACTCTGTTCCATTGCATTTTATGACAAAAAAAGCACTGGAGGTCACACATCTCTGCTACCAATATTACTCATGCACTTTCACTGAGAAAGTCTTCCTGACTGAATTTTGCTTAGGCAAAATATAAGCTGCTTTTGCACAAACACCTTTTGAGCAGGTCTTCAAATCTAAAATGTATTTTGTTCACATTGTCAGTAAAGTTAAGTAACTTAGGTGCAGGCAAACATTGGCCCCAAACTAGAAAAAAAGAAAGCCTGCAAATCACTGCAAACTATTTCTCCGGGGATCAGCTGCCAGGCCCCTGCCCTGTCCTCTATCCAATGAGGCTTCTAAATTTTGGTCAGATTTTGGCACTCGGTACTACAAGCCATCACCTTGAATTTCTTTACTGTGTGTCAAAGCACTGGGCTGTCCAACCCAGAACAACTACAGGTAGCCCTTGAAGAATAACCACAACTGAGGCCAGAATTTATGTTGCGAAGCAAAATGGCTAAGTGAATCATGTCCAGTTTTATGACTTTTTTGGGGAACAGTTTCTAAGCAAATAACTTCAGTTTAAGTGAATCACACATGGTCATTAAGCAAATCCAAATTCCCCCATTGACTTTGCTTGTTGAAAGCCAGCTGGGAAGGTTGCAAATGGTGATTACGTGACCTCAGGATGCTGCGACCATCGTTAATGCATGCCAATTTAGTATGTGTACTACTGAAGTGAGCACATAAATATATGCCAGTTACCAAGCACCCAGATGTTGATCATTAGTCATAAATATGAGGACTGACTGTAAGTCACTGTTTTCAGAACCATTGTAAACAATTAGTTGTAAGTCTAGGACTACCTGTATTCTGTAATGTCAGAAATTCCTTATGGCTTCAGACATGGTGGACACTTTCCTTCTCATTCTGCTATTAAAGACACAACCTGGAGTGTGTTCATGCAAAGCAAGTACTTTTTGCATCCTTCAGGTCATTCCAAGGTCCTCTTTCCCCTCAACAAGGACTCACCGTGGCATCTTGTCCAGAATAGTGTCTGATGAGATGAAGCCCACCTGGGTGCCGCAAATAGAACTGACTGACATCATAGACTTTTCGGTTGATTACCAGCCATCTCTCTTTCTTGAAGTTTCCCTTGCCTGTGCGGAGCCCCACCTCCTCCCATGTGAAGAGCCGTGGGACCCCTGGCTCAGTCTCTGGATTGCCTGCACTGGCTCCTGATTGAGGGGGCATCCTGGCTGAAAGCACTGAGGGATGCTGTTCCACTAATTCTTGAGCTATGCTGTTTATCCTGTGGAAAGATAAGGCAACTCTTAATTCTATTAGATGTTGCAGTCCACTTTATATAGACTCCAGCAACCACCCACATTTCCTTTATTTTTCTATTGCTCCAGACATACTTTTGCTCCTCCCTCCCATTGCATTTCTCCATGACAAATAAGAGTCTTTTGCTATGCACAACATGTACTTAAATTAAGATTTGAAACAGGATAAACAAGCATATTTTTCAACAGAGTTTTTAAATAAACAGTACAATATATCAGTATATAAAATTTTTATTCTTGTTTCTATATATTGTGTAAGAGAGCTACAATAGCATTCCACAGAAAACATATCATCAAGAACAATATAATTACAACAGTTAAAAGCTAATACAAAAAACAGAATAAAAAGAAAGTAGAAGATACAGAAAAAAATGAAACAGAAAGAAATAGAAAAGAAAGGTAAAAATATAATAAAGCAAAAGAAAGGTGATATATAAAGTGACTTCCCACCTTCATCAAAAATATAATCAATTTTAGTAATTTATCTTCTTTTAAGATACAATAAATCTTCCCATATCCCATCTCTTTTCTATAAACAAATCCATAAAGTACCATTATTTCAGTCCTGATATCAGCAAAAGTCTAGTAAGAGTTACCAGAGAATACATCGTATCTATTTCAACTTTGATCAAATAAACCAACTTTATATTTTTCTTGTTACTTCTAACAATCTTAATGCCAGGCACAAAAGATCAGGTCTACACATGAAGGTCTAATTAAATTGATTTATTGCTACTGTTGCCTTTGTATGGGAATATTTTCAACTGACAGCGCCTGCTTGGAGTTAGATAAAAGTTAACAGAATTCAAGCAAGGTTGAACTTAGTTTGCTTGTGGCTACATAGGGATTCTAAATTGATCCCTCTTTTAATTCTGACTACAGATTCTGCAGGTGTTTTCCTACACCTAATAATTAATCCATTCAAATAATGTCGTAGAACATGTTTTCATTATTTCTTTATCCCTTCTTACAACATTCTCACAACTTTAACAAACCTCTTTTTAAAATCCAGTATAGAACAATTATCTAGGTCACTCTTGGTTTATTGTTTCCAGGACCTTCTTAATTATTAAGACATCAGCCAGTTTCTTTGTTATCTTTACCTCATCATTCTTGCAGCCTGCTATTTTTAAGTCCACTTTCCACTCAGGCAGAATGTGTTCTTCTTCTAAAATATGTTTTTCACACTGTCGCTAATATTTCAAACAATACCCATTTTGAACGATGCACCTTTTAAGCAATGGCAAAATAGATATAGTCATATTTATATGGCTTGATAAGAAACAAGGGTTAAATCTAAAATTCTTCAAGATACACAAAAAAGTTTTAATATTATCTGATTTTAAATTGTATTCACGGCCTGTGATTTGGTTTGATGAAACAGTGGGGGTTGCTGATTTTTTTTTAATTAGAATTAGAAAAACACAACCTGAGATTTGATAGGCATGGATTTTTAGAGTATGATAAAGTTAAAGTTAATGCAGATTTTTTTAAAAAATGTGACAAGTGCCATAGTAAGAATATGAAACAAATACAAACCCAGGCTGTGTCTGAAGATACTTTTATTGGCCTCCAGACAGTTAGCATTTTATAGAAAAGAAACAACAGAAAAACAGTTAACATGTCAAGATTTATTAATATAGGAACAATTAATATTAAATTCAGAGAACAACTGATTGCAGAGAACTTTTGCTCCTCCTGCAACTGATTGCAGTTTCAATAGTTTTCATATGAACAATTAAGAGAAAGATTTAACATAGACAAAAGATTTAACATAGGCTGCACAAGACAGAATTTGAAAATGAACTATATTAATGATAAGCAAGTGATTGCAAAACTGTACAAATATCTGTTAAGATTTGAAACTGAAGAGGAACAAGTTAAGGATTGCATGACAGAATGGACTTCAGTTTTGGTTTATACACAGCTAGATAAATAGGAGATAATAGAGGTAAATGAGATGAAATTCACACTGTGTTTAAGAGAGGACTCCTATAAAATGATATATTGTTGGTATATGACACCTTGGAAATTATCAAAGATGTATAGTTCAGGTACTGAAATGTGGGGGGGAAATGAAGAGACATTTTACAATGCATGACAGACTTCTAAAAAAAGTCAAAAAATTTTGAATACATACAATGATACAAGGAAAATAGAAAGATCTGTTATCTTTTAAAAAATAAGAAAAGTCAGAACTCTTTCTATTTGGACTTATGGAAAAGATGAAAAGATTAACGGAAGATTGATTTTATGTATGGTAACTGCAGCAACATTATTATATGAACAAAAGTGGTGGAATATTGAAATTCCCACAATGAAGATACGAATAGGCAGAAATGGCAAATTGACCTGACTGGTGAGGAACAAAACAAGAAGTAAATTTTTAAAAGACTGGAAAGTTTGTGCTGAAAATAGAAAAACAAAGTGGTGATTTATGGATTTATCATTGAAAAGGGGATAGAAAAGGGACTGATGGGATTTCTGTAATACTAAAGAGAGAGGGATAATTATTTTGTTAATATTTGTTGAAAAGAAGTTTGGAAGTCCTTCCTTCCTCCCTCCCTCTCTCTCTCCCTCCCTCCCTTCCTCCCTCTTATTGCACTTTTTGTTTTGTTTCTTTTTCTTCTCATTTTTTTATTTAGATTTGTCTTTCATTTATGGAAAATTTTCAATACAATTATATTTTAAAAAATTAAAAAATATGTCATTTGGTGACAGCTTGTGAAAGGGCTTCACATGGCATACAATTTTCAGAGCCTGCATGTAGACTTTTCTTATATAAATATTTATCATTTCTTCCAGTAGAATATAGGAAAACATGTATAGCAGATTATTTAGTATTCAGGAACGATAGGCATAACTATGAAGTCATATGCTTAATGTATTATAATTTTTAAAAACCACATAGTTTCCCCAAGGGCTCCACAATTCAACCTTGAGCTTATATATATATATATATATATATATATATATATATATATATATATATATATATATATATATATATATGATCTTCTATTGATAGACTCCAAAAGCCTGGTCTTTATATCTTATTGGAATGCCACAGATGGAACCATCCAGGTCTCAGGGGGAAAGCTCTTTCCAGAAGACAGGTGCTACATCAGAGAAGGTAAGCTTCCTGGGCCCTGATAGGTAGAACTATAAAATCAAAGGAACTCAGAGTGCACCTGTCAGCATGAATCAGCAATGCAGGTATCACAGAAGATAGGCAATTCCTCCAATAATTAAGATTTATCACATAAAGAGCTTCATGTGCTATAATCTACACTTTGAAGGCAAAATTACAACCAGTGCAATTTACAGAGCAAAGATGTCACATAGACATACCAAGGCATGTCCATAACAGCCTATTCTGTTTCATTCTGGATCAGTTGAAGTTTCTGAATGGTTTTTAGGGGCAGTCCTATGTAGAATGCATTGTACTAGTCCAGTCATGAGATAATCAGTGTAGGTAGAGGCTCCTGATTCAGAAATGGGGCAATTGTTGTACCAATTGAAACTGCAGACCAGAGATGCCATCTGCTCATTAAGCAGAGTTGTGAGTCCAGGAAGACTATCAGATTGCACATCACCCTTGAATGGAGAAGTACAATTCCATCCAAGATCAAAGATGGAATATCCCTGGAGTCAGGCAGCCCCCAAATCCACAGCCACTTTGTCTTGGCACAGTTAAATCAGACTGTCATGGTTCCGACAGATGAAACTCTTTAAAAGAACTTCGAGGCATTGTTTACCTTAAAGCAAACATGTCAAACACAAGGTCCGGGGGCTGGATGCAGCTTGCCAAGTGGTTTCATGTTGCCTGTGAAATCATCCTGGAAACAGTGAGGGAATGGCCCCCGCTGCCTTGGCCCTGGCCCAGGCCAGCCGGGAGCCAATGTACAATTTTCTGGTGGCCATATTGGCACTTGCCCCGGTCCCAACCCCTTCTGCCAGAGACCCTCACATCTGTCCCACTCCTGCCCAGGCCCCCATAGGCACCCTTGATGCAAATGATGTAGAACTGTTCACACCCACCCAGTAGTCCACACCCACTCCATCCACGCCCACCCAGTAGGCTTCACCCACTCTGGCCACACCCACCTGCCCCCCCAGGGCAACCGCAATGCTGACATGGCCCTCAGTGAAATTGAGTTTGACACTCCTGCCTTAAAGAATCTTTTATTCGAGAAACAAAGCACTACATAGTTAAAGCTAAAAATTGAATTACCACACCCCCCCCAGACACAAAGTAGCAAAGCACAATTCCCTCCTCCAATTAACAGTCATAAATCACATTCCCCAATTAGCTTGAAGTGCGGGCTTTCTCCCCAGCTCTCCAGCCCACCAAATCTTTATCAGCTCCGGGTGCAATAACCTTGATTCCCACGGCTGAGTTATTGTTGTTATGACTAACTGGACTCTCATCCACATCCCCCCTCCCAGATCATCTAACTCTAAAAGCGAAAGAGAAGAGATGGCTACATTTCCATCTGTTGTCAAGGCAAGAACATCCAATGTTAGCAGTGTTGACACAGACACAGTTCTTCCCCACATAGTACTGCACAGCCTCCAAGGGCTGGATCAGGATCTCAACATCCTCATTTGGCGGGCCTGGAGTTGAAAGATATACTGTAATTGGATATCTTTAAATCCCAATTTGGTGAATAATCTCATTCAATGGTTTCATGTAGATGTTGAAAAGGAGGGGAGAGAGCGTAAAAGCTCTGTAATAGCCCACAGAGGTTTCTCCCAGAGGACAAGCATACTTCCTGAGAATGTGGTACTATTCAAACAACTGTCCACCTTTTACAATGCCCCGACATCCACACAGAATAACTTGCTGGTTGGAAGTATCCCTGCCATCAACGTGGCCCACCATTGGGCTAGAACTATAAAGTTTATGTTTTTATTAAAGTTTTTCATCTTTTTTAATTTAAATTAATAATTTCCCCCTTTCTAGTTCCTGCATTCCTGACATGAGACGAGACTGTACA